AAGCCACGGGGCCGGCCCTCCTCTTTTAATTAATTTAATTTTCAAGCATCCATTCCAAGCATTTTCCCAGGTCTCCCTTTTCTTCTCGCTTCCTGTGTTTTCCTCCAAATGCTGTCATTTATGTCTAGGGACTGTTGACTCCTTCTTCCCTGCCCATATCTCTGTTCTATGTTGACTTATGTCCTCCTATGAGTCAGTCATTACTGCACTGGGTGCTGGGGACACAAGCCCAGTAGGAAGTGTTCCCTGCCTTTGGTCACTCTAGAGTCCATGAGTCTGGTTGGCCAGATGTGCAGCCAGGGAGATGGTCAGTGAGTTACAATGGAGGCTGGGGAGAGGTACATCCTATTCTGTCTTGGGAGACAGAAGACAGTAGGCAAGGAGTTAGGGACGGAGCTATGTTCCCTTCCAAATATCAAATGGATGGGGTTTTTTGTTTTTTCAATTATTTTATTGAGATCATAATGGTTTATAACATTGTATAATTTCAGGTGTATGGATGGGTTTTAAAAAACTTAAACCCATGATTCACAACAATACTTAAAAATAAACTAGACCAACTTGACCATCACTAGAGAATTCTGGTAAGCCAAATGATTATCTTGAAAACTGGTAAATAAAAGGAATCTTATTCTGCCTTTCCTAAACAAACTGCCTCACTGGGAAACCAAATAGCAGATGAGGGGAAGCGTCTCTCTATAGAAGAATGTCAGCTAAGACAGCTAAGACTGAAATAGATCACTGTTCTGCAACCCCTAATAACCTAAAATATTTAGACCCCGAGCATCAACGGCTGCTAACATCACAAAGAGACAACCAAACATTATGTGTCTCTTGATGGAAATAGACACCCCTCACTGTGATAGATTTTAGCTAAAACAAATCTGATCAAACATTTAGAGCAGTGTTGTCCAATAGAATTTTTTACAATGATAGAAATGTTCTAATCTGTACTGTCCAATACAGTAGCCACTAGTCACACATGGCTACTGAGCACTTGAAATGTGGCTTGTGCAACTGGGGAACTTAATTTTTAATTTTACTTAATTTAAATTTAAATAGTCACACGTGACTATGGCTACCATACTGAACAGAGCAGCTGCAGATCCAACTACCCATTGAGAGAAAACACAGGGCACAAAGGAGCGTTAGACATCATGGGGATGCATTCCGCAAAAATCCAGATTGCTGGAAACTCTACAAAACATATCACCTGAAAATAAAGAGACTGAGGGAAAACGTATAAATTAAAAGAGACTTGAAAGACATGTCAATCAATTATAATGTATGGACATTATGTGGACTTGATTCAGCAAACCGAAAAAAAAAAAGTATGAATGTATGAGACAATTAGCAATGTAAACACCATTGTAAATGTGGGTGCAACCATGTATTTTTATCTTTATCTATTAGAGGCACATTCTGAAATATTTATGGTTGAAACAGTATAATGTCCAAGATCTGCCTCAAAATCATGTGTCGGGGGATGGATGGGGGATGGATGGGCAGAACTGGCCATGGGTTCACGGTTGTTGGGGCCAGGTGACAGATATTGTGCCTTTGAAACTCTCCACAATAAAAAATGATGAAAAAAAGAGACTACTCCTTGTTCATGCACCCGTGACAACTGGAAGACTCGGACTTCAGAGCCAGGTAAAAGGCCAGGAACACATTTGAAGGAATTCTAACCTCAATTCCTTTTGAAGAATCCTTGGGAGAGGCCCAAGGAAGAGCGACAAGAATGGGACGAGGTGAGAAGACAAATTCACTTGCTAGTCCATACCAGCCACTCTAAGTCAAGATGAGAAACATCATCTCTACCCCACAGCTGGAGACCTGCAAACGGGTCCAGCACGAAATGGAGGTCAAGTGACCTGGACCTCTGGCATGAACACTTTCCCAGATGTACATCATCTCCCCAGCCAGATCTGTTTTATAAATACTCCTCAGGATTGAAGAGACAATTCCATAACCTGCCCTGAGATACACAGTCAAAAGGCAGATGCGCTGGGAAAGGCCACGTTTCCTAACCCAAACCTACGACTTCTTTCCAGATCCACTTCTCAGCACAAGCAGGTTGGCAAATCCCTTGTCCCTACTGCAGGCAACAAAATATTGGACGTTAACAAAACTAACTCCCTATCGGGCAGTTTACATATGCACAAAAGTGCTAAACATTTGCACCCATTATCTCATTTAATCTACACAACACTTCTGAGAGGCCCCGTCTATTATTTCTCCATTTTACAGATCAGGGAACTGAGGCTCAGAAGAGACAACGTATCCCCAACCACAGCTGGTAAGATGCACCCAATCGAGGTTTTTCCTTCTCAAAAACCTTCCAGAGCCCCTCCTCTGACCACGTAGGAGCATCCACACTTCTCGGCTTGGCCCCTTTACCAACTCACCTGTCCTGGCTACATTTCCAGCTCCACATCTCCGACTCTCCCTGACCCCCGCAGGCCTGTTTCCCATTCTCCAGCCACCACAGCTCTGTGTCCTTTCCTTATTCAAGCTTTGGGCTCAGCTCCTACCAACCTAAAGCCTGCCTCTCCCCCTTCTCCACAGCCCTCAAATCCACACCAAGAAACCTTCCCCAACTCAGAATTCTTTCATCACATCTTTACTTGTGCTTCTGGTTTAGCATTCGCTTTCTTATAATAGAGTTAATAATCAATATTTGTGTCTCCTCACCAACCCAAATAATTCTAGCTGGAGTTATTGGGCACCTACCATTTTCCACCCTTAACTCATTTATCCTCACAACTGTATGAGGTAAGGATCATTATTATCCCCATTTCACAGACAAGGAAACTGAGGCTCAGAGGGACTAGCAACTTGCCCAAGGTCACACAATGAAGAAGTGACAAAGTCAGAGCCTAGAGGCTTAACAGTTACTATCAGATGATTCTGAAACCCCAGGGTGGGAGCAGTCTCATTTCCTGGCTGCCTTGTACACAGTAGGCACTCCACAATGTTAGATGGGATGTTGCCTCTCTCTGCAGGGCACTGGCTCAAACCTGCCCTTCCTCTGGTCCTAAGGGCCAACGGCCTAATGAGTGTCTTCAAGTCATTCAAACTGTCATTAAAACAATGCAGCATGTATGGGTCTCATCCTTGAGTGGCTTTCCTCTTCTGCTTAAGAAACTAATTCCTGGAGTTCAGCACGCTTTGATTAGAATTCTAGAGTTACACAATGTGCTAAGTCATGTGCAATTCAGCCACTCTTTTGAAAAAGGCCAATACGATGGCTGATAATTCAGGAGGTTTGGAGCATCTCAACACCAAGATGTCTCCTCTCTGCCAATAGAAGCTGAGAGGGAGAAGGAACCTGAACACCCTCAATAAACAAAACAAAAACTCAAATGCTAAATTAATGGTTGAGGAGCAAACTCTATACCCCACCCTCCACCCCTGGGGGCAGCATTTAGGCAAGGATCATGGAAATAAGATTGGTTTATTCATTTCCTTAATCCAGGGCTCCAAAGGCACTGTTTGCCTGGGGCAGCAAAGAGAGATCTCCTAAAATGTGGGTTAAGGGACTGGATATTTTTCCTCCGCCACTCTTCTCTCCAGGGTAATCTGGGTAATTGGGGGACAGAGGGGCAAACTGGCTACAGTCAATCCCTAAACAACGTTGCAATTGTCCTTACAGCCTGGTGATAAATATGCAAGTGGGACACTTAGTAGAATTTCCTGGAGGGCAGAACTACCAGTCTCAGAAATTGTGCCTTGCCACTTAACCCCCTGCGGGCCAGAAAGGCCTCAGGCCAGCTGACTTGACCACTAAGCAGCATGCCCGCACCTAGTAAGGATGTCTTTTCTAAGGATTCCAGCTCAAGCCTCCAGCCTCAATTCTTAACCAAATGCACCTCAGCCCACCCCGGAGCCAATCTCCCGGAACCAAGAATATGCATAGGGGAGGGCTGGCCTCTCCCAGGAAAAGTAACGGAGGCTTGCCCAGTTCACAGCAAACGCTAGGGTTCCTCCTCCCCGTGTCCCCCACGCCCACCTGGGCAGCGCGGCTGCGCCGGAGCGCCCAAGAATTATCACCTACATTGAGGACCCGGAGCCCGAAAAGGATCACAGCATGGCCCACCCGGCTAGGAACTGGGGTCATGTGATTCCTAAAAAACCACTCCCTGGTTCCAGCTGGCTGTGAGTCAGTGGAATGGGATTCCTTTATCTTATAGGGTAGCGGATACCTTTGAGCATGCAATCATGGAACTTCTACCAGGAAAGCGCAGATGGGCGTCCCGATAAGCTGTCGCCTACAATTCCAGAAGACGGGTGTGGGGCTGGGGGTCTGAAGCGCGAAAATAGAGGACAACAAACACTCCAACCCACTGGTGGCGGGGCATTGAGGCAATTTGCAGTTGAACCCGTTTATCCATAAATTTAATTCAAGGTTTGAGAGCCATGACAAATTTAAGTGCCCAGCACAGACCTCGTATCTAACGGATACGCCATAATCGGCACTGGGAATAGCTGTTATTCTGAGAGGCCCACTGTGTGCCAAGCTGCAGCCACTGTCTCCAGAACGCAAGGAAGGGTGTGAAACTCTCAGAATTCACATAGCGCTGGGAACTGCGCCCCGAATGTGGAATTCCTGGGAACCTGGGTCCCTCCTTTCCGACCTCGGGAACCCAGACGGCCTGGTTATTCCTTGGACCGTGCGCACTGAATGGGCTACTGGAGAGAGGAAGCTGTGCCTGAGGTCTTTTAGGCAGTTCCAGAGGCCACCTCGGCAGACTGTGCGCGCTCGAGAGGCCGGCATCTGGGGCGCAGCGGCGCGGACGGCTGGCTCCCCAGCAGGCGGGAGGACGCGCGGAGGCGCCCTGGCCGCCGCCCAGGGGCAGGTGCAGGAGCAGCGCGGAGGGTGCGCTCGGTGCACTGGTGCCCGGGTGCGCGGGCGGGCGCGGCAGGGAGGGGCGCGGGCCCCGGGAGCCCGACGCCAGGGCGTGGTGCTGGTGGCGGCGAGGGCAGAGTCGACACCGTACCTTGATTTTCGCCCTGGCGACCGGGCGCTGCTTCGCCGCCAGGTGTCCACCTGGGCCGTCGGCGTCGCCGGGCTCGGGGGTTTCGTGCTCGGGGGTGCGCGGGAACAAGCTGCTCTCGGCGCCTCCAGGCTCCCCCGCGCTGCTGCTGCCGCCGCCGCTGCTGCTACCGCCGTCGCTGCGGCAGTCTTCCTGGGGGTCGTGGAGCAGACTGCCCAGGCCCACTGCGGAGGGAGGGGCCGCGCCCCGGCACACAGACACGCGGCGTCAGGCCCGGGCGCCCGCGGCAGTTTGACCTGCGGGCGGTGCCGCAGCCGCCCCGCCCCGGACCTGGGCACCTCGCCAAGTGGGCAACGCCGCGGGGGTGGGCGAGCGAGCCCCCAGCTCGGCCTCCCGAACTAGCTCGAGGTTCTGGGGGCCTCTCCTCGGTCCCAGTTCTCGCGCCCACGAGGAACTGAAGACCATGCGCGGCGGGGGACCACGCGCGCCAAGTTTCCTCTCCCTGGAATGGGGGTAGGAGGGTCTGACCTCTACCCACCTAGCCCCAAAGGGGTTGACGGATCCTTGTGCAACCCCATGAGGATGTGGGACTGAGGGTAGCCCCTACTGGCCCTCAACACCCCACCCCCACCCCCTTCTGGGCCACCTCGCCCCGCGCTGCAGCCAACGGTCCCGCCGCCGGGCAATTAGAGGCGCCCATTAGGGGGAAGGGGGCGCAGGGCGTCCCGGGTTTCCCAGGATCTCACTCTCGATCCTCCCGCGCCTCAAGAGACCTCCTCCTCCCCGCGATGGGGTAGTGAGTCCAGCCCCGGCCGGTGAGCAGAGGGGACCCGGCCACCCCTGCCCCCACCCTGGGAGCCCCGCACCCAGGCCCGGCCCCCGCGCCGCGCTCACCTGGGATGTAGGTATCTGCCCTTTCCTCATCCGGGAGCTCATCCCAGCTGCGGACCGAGACCCCCAGGCTCCTCCTCTTCACCAGGAAGACTTTGGGCATGGTGGGACCCCTCCCCGACTGCGGCCCCCTCCTCCCGGCTGCTCCCCGCTAAGGACGACGGCGGTGGCTCGGTCTCCGGCTCCAGGCGGCCAGAGCCCACCTTCCCGCCCCGCCTGCCCTCTCCCTCCGCCCCCCGCCGCGGCGCGGCCCAGGCCTCTCCCCCGCACGCCCGGCGACTCCCAGCCTCCCCGCTCGGCGACACCTATGCCTTAAATCGCGGGTGAGACCACGCCGAGGAAAAAGTTTCATAAGGTGGAATAGAAAAGGCACCAGGAAACTTGGGAGTGAGCATGCGCCCTGCAACATAACGGTGTCAACAAGCTCGCTACCTGTCCGACCGGTTCCGGCGGCCGGGGCTGCCTGTTCCAGCCCTTCCTTAGGCATGAATGTTTGCAAAAGAATTTAACGTCTGATTCTTCCCCCCTCCCCTTTTAAAAAGGGATGAACGTTTTTTAATCTACCCCCTCTCCCGATTGCCCCATCACAGGCACCTCAGGGCGATTTCTTTGAGGTCAACCCCAGGTCCGCTTCCCAGGGCGTCCCTCCCGAGGGCTGGGGCCTCCTGAGAGTTGCCCCCACCCCCAGTGTACTTGTCTCCGACAAGCAAGACAGAAAATGGCTCAGTTCCTCTGGACCTTGTGGATCATTCCCGGGGCTCGTTGAAATCTCCGCCAGCGGAGGGGGAGGCGGCGGCGAGATTCTTCAGGACCCTGATCTGGTAAAGGGGGGAACTTGGGGGACCCCCATCATCTACAATAGCCCCCCAAATAAACACAGTAATAATAAATTTAAAAATTCAGCATCTTTAGAACATCTTGTTATTGCACTGATTTGTGCCATACAATCTAAGAAAAACAAGTCGGCTTGCTCCGCCAAAGCGGCTGCCACCCCAAGACCCTGCACCCCAGCAGCATCCTCACCCCAGATAAACACACGATGGAAACAAAAGCCAAATGCGTGTTATGCAAACGCCCCTTCGCAACAAATTCCTTATTCTCGTCCGCTCCCATCATTGCCTCCCCTAACCGCCCGCTCCCCAAATTCTGAGACTGGGAAATACCTTTCCAGGAAGCCAGTAAAGTGAAGATGGGCTACATCCCCTTGCTGCCCTTACTGGGGAGGTGGCTGGAGAACTCTGTGTTCATTTTTGGTTTTGGTTTTTCCTATCTACCCTTATACCTGGAGGGGGGAGGGAGAGAAGGAAGGGGAATTGGTAAAAAAAAAAAAAAAAAGATGTCAAATTTCTAAGAGCAGCTGTGTCCGCGTTGGGGGGCGTACTGCCCCTCCTAAGACCCCTGCTCGCGTGCGCCCAGGGACTCACAGCGCTGCCTCCAGAGCCGCGGCGGGAACCCCCCTTCAGGGAGGTGATCAGACGTGTGCCAGCTTCGGGGGCTGCGGGGCTGCGGCTGGCCAGGAGTACCTTGGCTCCAGCAGGTCGCCGATCCGCCAGACTCACCTGTCTGTAACCCGACCGGCTGCGCGCCCAGCCCACAAGGCCGGGGAATTAACACAGCGGTTTTCTCGGTCCTCTTCCGCCCTGGAATGGCCTTCGGGGACACAGCAGCCTGGTAACGGATTTCGCGGCTTCGCTGGAGTGCTCTCCCCGCGCGCGGAGAGGGGGCGCAGCTCTCCCGGGACTGCGGAGGGACCAGACGCGCCATGCCTCTCGGTCTGCCCTCAAGGGGTCACCCTCTCTGGGCTCGACCCTGTCTGGACTCCAGATTTTTCCTGAGAACAACCAACTAAGAATGAAAAAGACTTTGATCCGGGTGAGCCGGGGGAGGAGGAGGAAGACATTTCCATAGCGGCGCAAGGAAACGAGCCTTCCTTCTAGTCTGTAAGGCTGATGGCGCAGCTCCTGGGAGGTTCTGCGAATGTATTTTTATCTCCCAACAAACTGGAGATTTGCTAGAAAGAGGGAGCTTGGTTTGAATGAAAGTAAATATAAAACTATGAAATCACAGAATTATTATCCCATCTCATAAAACTGTTTAAAACTTCATTCGAAATTCCTTATTTTACCAAAAAGGCAGTCTACCCCATTAACAGAGCTTTCTTTCTTTCTTTCTTTCATTGGATTTCAAATCAATGCGTGCCTGGACCACTTTGTCGATTATGTGAAAAGATTATAGAATTATGGGATATAAGGCTAGAAACTGCAAAAAGCAAGGCAACGTTTAGGGGGAGGAGAAGAAGAGTCGCGGGGGTAACACACTTTTATTCAATGATTGTTGGGTGCACACCTGCTATGATAGTTGATGGATGTCTCTTTGGGAGAGAGGAATTCTAATGCTTTAGTTTTCTGTTTTTCTTGATCAGACTTGAGAGAAGTTTATCAATATTATTAAGGTTTTCAAAGAACCAGGTTTGCCTTTGTTGACTTTTCTCTATTGTAGGGTCAGTTTTCTAAGTATTATTAGAGGAGTTGACAGAGCTTCTCTAAAAGTGGATAAGAAATGACCCAATTCTTTAAAAATCTCAAAGCTTGGAGTTGGAAGAGACAGAAGACATGAAATGGTCCACACCCCACCCCATAGTGGGGGAGGGGTGGCCCTGCATAGTGTCTTTGGTAAGTGTGTATCCAGCCCTGCTTGAATACTTCCAGTGCTGGCGAGCTCACTTTTTCAAAAAGCAGCCTATTCTCTAGTTAGACAACAATGACGTTAGAAAGCATTTCCTCGTGCTTTATGGAAATCTGTTTCCCTGCACTCCCACCTCCCCTCCCCATTCTGCCCTGAGGGGCTGCTGAGGCTGTGCCTGCACCCCCTCTCCCTGGTGGTTCTGCAAAAGCATGAAAACAGCCATTGGTGTTCTCACTTAAGACTTCTTTTCTCCAGTAATGTATAGTTAGCTGAAAATAGACAGGTACAAACCTGCTCAGTGGCATCCTTAGAGCATACAGCTATAAGGAGAGGTTAGGATGTTGGGGAAATATTCCTAAAACAATTTTTTTTTTTTTACTTTTTATTGAAGTATAGTATAGTGTTGGGAAAAAATGCACAAGTCATAAGTACAAGGCTAGATAAAATTTCACAGACTGAATTCACCTGTGGAGACAGTGCCCCAGAACAAGACAAAGCTGCCTGCTCTCACCGCTCCACTCAGCACGAGACCGGCTTCCTCACAGGTACAATAAGACAAAAAAGAAGAAATAAAGGTATAAGGATTATAAAGGGAAAAACAAAACTATCATTATTTGTAGTCAGAATGATTGTCTATGTGGAAGACTCAAAAGAGTCTACAGATTAATTTTAGAATTAATAAAAGAGTTTAGCAAGATGGTTTTCTAGAAAATCTGTGTGTGTGAGTGGGTGGGTGTCTGTGTCAGTTGCACTTCTACATGTCAGTAACAATTAGAAATATTAAAAGTCTAACCAAAAAAATGACTTAGAACAGCAACCAAAATACACAGTGCCTTGAAATAAATTTATAAAAATATTGTGCAAAGTCTTTTTTTTTTAATTTTATTTATTTATTTATATTTTCCCCCAAGGCCCCAGTAGATAGCTGTATGTCATAGCTGCACATCCTTCTAGTTGCTGTATGTGGGACGCGGCCTCAGCATGGCCGGACAAGCGGTGCACCGGTGTGCGCCCGGGATCCGAACCCAGGCCGCAAGCAGCGGAGCGCGCACACTTAACCGCCAAGCCACAGGGCCGGCCCTGTGCAAAGTCTTTGTAGGTAAAATTTAAAAACTTTTTATTGGAAGACAGTAAAAAAGACACTAATCAATGGAAAGATTTACCATACAAATGGATTAGAAGACTCTGAATGAAAAAGAGATCAAAAATCCCCAAATTCATCTGTAGATTTAATACAATTCTTAAAAATACTTGAAAAAAGATCTTTTCATGGAACCTGACAAACTTGTTCTAAAGCTTTATAGGAAAGAATAACCAAAACACTCCTGAAGAAGAACAAGGTGTAGAGACTGGCTCTTTCAGATGTCAATAGTAATTAAATCAGTGTGGATTGGTGCACAGCTGGACCACCAGTGCAGAACAGAGAGCCCAGAAACAGACCCACACATGTGTGGACATTTGATTTATGAGAGAGGCCATTGCAGAGCCTTGGGCAAAGATGTGCTATTCAATATGTGGAATTGGAACACTCGGTTATCCATTTAGGGAAAAATGAAGGAAATTGAATCATGTACACACATCAATTTCTGGTGGCTTAAATATTTAAATGTGTGTATACATATAGATAGATAATGTAGAAGAATATCTTTATGATCATAGGATAGAGAAGAATTTCTTAAGACACAAAAAACAAACTATAAAAGGAAATATTTAAATCTGACTACAGAAAAATTAGGAATGACTATCAAAAGACACATTAAGGAGAAGGATAAGCTAAACAACAAACTGAGAGAACTTTTTGCAACACATTTATCTTACAAATGATTAGAATCCAGAATATATAAAGAACTCTTATGAATGAATAAGAAAAAGACAAGCTCAAAAAAAAAAAGTGGAAAAAAACATGAACAGGCATTTCCCAGAAGAGAAAACATGAATGGCTCATCAACATATAACAAGATGCTCAATCTTATTAGTAAACAGGAAAATGCAAATTAAAATGACAATGAAATACTATTTCATGTTTACCAGACTGGCATAATTTAAAAGTTTGACAACACTAAGTGTTGATGAGGATATAGGGCAATGAGACTGTTCATACATTGCTAATAGGTGTATAGATTCATTCAAACATTTTGGAAGAGTTTGACTTTATCTAGTAAAATTGGACATATACATATTAAGTGAGTCAGATATTCCACTCCAAGTTTTATAATCTAGAAAAAGTCTTGCACTTTGGCACCAAGAATCATGGACCAGAATATTCATAGTAGCATCACTCATCTTACTCAAAAAAAAATAAAAACCTGAACACAACCCGAATGCCCGTCAATAACTGATTGGATTAATATATGGTGATAAATCCATGCAGTGAAAATGAATAGCCCACAGCCACACACATTAACAAAAGTAAATCTCAAAAATATTGTTGAATGAAAAACACATTACAGAAAAATTGAACTATAAGATTCAAATTATCTTTAAAAACAGATGAAAGTAAACAATATCTTGTTGAAGAATGCAAACCCATATGTTAAAACCATTAGGTGAACAAGCAACAACTTGGGGAGAATCTCCAGAAGACCATGCTGAGTAAAAAAAGCAATTCCAAATGTTATGTTTTATATGATTCCACTTATGTAACATTCCTGAATGACAAAATCATAAAAATGGAGAAAAGATTAGTGGTTGTCAGGACTTAAGTATTTGTAAGGACAACATGAGAAATCCTTATGGTGATGGCACTGTTCAGTATCTGTGGAAGTTGATACGTGAACCTACACATGATAAAATTGTATAGAACTAAATACACCCCACACACACACATACACACACGCCAATGAGTACAAGTAAAACTGGGTAAATCTGAATAAGACCTGTGGATTGTCTCAATGTCAACATCCTGCTGGTGATGCTGTTCTTTAGTTCTGTATAATTTACCATTGGGGGAAACTGGATGAAGGGCACACAACTGCATGTGAATCTACCTGATCTCAAAATTAAAAGTTTAATAAAACACAAACATTGAAAGTTGCTAAGAGAGTAAATCTTTAAAATTCTCATTACGAGAAAAAAATTGTAAGTATGTGTGGTGATAGAAGTTAACTAAACTTATTACAGGTTATTATTTAACCCTGTATACAGATTATATACACTCTTGTCTGTGTAATATATTTCACAATAATTTTATTTTTTTAAATTTTATTTATTTATTTTTTCCCCCAAAGCCCCAGTAGATAGTTGTATGTCATAGCTGCACATCCTTCTAGTTGCTGTACGTGGGACGCGGCCTCAGCATGGCCGGAGAAGCAGTGCATCGGTGTGCGCCCGGGATCCGAACCCGGGCTGCCAGCAGCAGAGTGCGCACACTTAACTGCTAAGCCATGGGGCCGGCCCTATTTCACAATAATTTTAAAAAGAGAAAACCAAATAAGCTGATGTAGTGGAAACGTGCCATGCTTGAGGAAACCTATTTGCACACCTTTACTTTGAGGCAATTTCTCCTTATGAGTCTCGCTTCCTCACAAGGGAGCCAGGAAATTGCTTTCCCAGACTCCCTTGCTGCTGGGTGACCCAGGTTCTATGGCTGAGATATACCCACACACTCCATTTAGGAAGGAGGCGGTGGTCAGGGTCCTGGTGGTCAGGTCCTGTGCTCAGGGAGGGTGGTAGGCCTGAGGTGCCCTGGTCCAGAGATGGCTGCAACAGAGCCCCTACTGGAAAAGCCTGAAACTGCAATTTGAGCAACGTTTCAGGTGGCCCCCTTCTGAGACTGATTCTGTGGTCTCCTGGAGATTCCATGAGCTACCTAACATCCTTTGATAAATTCCATTTCTGATCAAAGGAGCTAGAGTGTGTTCTGTTGCCGCATCTTGGGTCATCTAGTCTGCAATTGGTGTTGTCCCTAGGACCACATTAGGACATCAATTGTCTTCTAATCAAGGACAAGGTTATGGTGTCTCATCATTGTCACCCTACTGGAATTCAAGATGAAAGCAATACTAAACCACAGAATATGTACACTTAATTTAAATTTCTTCTTTCTAGGCCAATTTGCAAGGTTCTGGTTAAACTCAGTGAAGCAAAATCTCCCTCTCTCTTCCTTCTGCCCCTCTGTTTCATGCTCCTGCTTTTCTGGAGCCCTGAATGTATGTCTCACCTGCCTCTAGTCCTGCACTGTCCAAAACAAGCCCCGCTAGTTGGTCTTCTGTGGCTACTGAGCACTTGAAAGGTGGCTGGTCTGAACTGAGATGTGCTGTAAGTGTAATATATTCACCAGATTTTGAAGACTTACTATGAAAAAAAGACTGTAAAATAT